CGCCTACCAATCCATGTACGGGACGATGAACGCGTACCAGATGTACGCTCATCCAGGAATGGTGCCTCCGCCAGGGATGGTGCCTGGCCAATCGTCACACTCTCGGTCGCCTCCGCCAGGGATGATGCCGAAGCCCAAAGCGCCACCGCAAGATGCGCCCTCACCACAGGAGGCGCCCCCGCCTGCGGCCCCACCAGCCGCGGGAGGAATGCCCGCCCCGCTCGGCGACTTATCTGAGGAGGAGGCAGCGCTTCGCAAGACAATGCGCAAGCGTAAGGAGGCCGTGGCCCTGAGTAAACGTCCAGCAGCTGCTGGGGGCGATGCCGATGGCGTCGAGGGCGCCGACGACGATGGCGACGAACTCGCCGACGAGGAGGGGGGGCCGCCGAAGAAGGTCATGAAGGGCGCCCCGCCGAAGAAGGCCATGCAGGTGGTCATGCGGAGGCCCTCGGCGAAGCCGAGGCCCACGGCGAAGCCGAAGCCGCTGCCCAAGGCCCCGCTGACGGGGGCCCCGAAGATCGAGTACCGCGCGGGGTATATACTCACGCAGCCAGACAAGTCCCAGTACAGGGCTGTCCTGGAGCGGTCCGACAGGCGCATCCGCTGGGACACGGGCAGCACGCGCCAGGAGGCTTTCACCAAGGCGATGAAGTTCATAGACGAGCGCTCGTAGCCGCTTGTCTGCTCTGCTCATCGCCGATCGCGACTTCTCGCGATTTGTTTCGCTGTGCCATAACGCTTGTGTGCATTGTTCATGTATGCCTGCATGGTGCAATGTAAAATGCAAGTCGTTGTTCCATCGTATGCGAGGGGCACCCGTCGCACAATCCTCTGTTGCGATTGCAGATATCGCATTCATGCTACCATCACTCAGTAGCAGTTTTGGCTCAAGCCATGTCGGCGGGGCCACCGGAGCGTCGCAAGACAGACGCCGAAGCACTGATTGAGTTACACAGAGGCCCATATGTATCTGAGCGGAGTCTTACATACATTCTCAAGTACGTACGAGATAATGGTATGCCAGGTAACATTTCGCGTTATGCGCAGTACAGCGCAAGGCAGAAATTAATCGGTGCCGAATCGAACCAGTACGGTGACGTGCTTGTCGGCATTGATATGCCATTGAACAGCGGTAAGAGCTTCAAGAACTGGGCGTGCGCCCCTGGCCCGTACTTGTACTCGACGGCGAAACGGAGTAAGGGGTTCAGAGATCTGTTGCGCCGCCAGCTCGCCAAGCACCCGTGCTCCCTAGCATCCCCATGGCGCATCTGCTTATAATTCGACGGTATCTCACCGCGTGACCCGTTGGCCAAGGGCAAAGACCACCGAGGGGTGGATGCTGTATACTGGTCGTTTCTAGAGTTCGATGAGTTTTTGCAGGACGTAGACGCATGGCTCGTGCTCAGCACCGCTCGGGTTTCCAAAGTGAGGGACATGCCTGGAGGGATCGGGCAGTCGGTTGCAATGACGTGCAACGAGCTCATGTTCAATACGTCTGGCGGGGTGAACTTTCGTACGACTGGAGTTATCTTGGACGTGTCAGATGCAGGGGATGCCACAAGGCACGCGACTATAATCGCGAGGTTGGGCTGCACTGTGGGCGACGAAGAAGCCCTCCGTGAATTCCACATGAACAAAGGGCACGCGGGCACCAAACCGTGTGCCATCTGCAGGAACGTGCTCAACCAGAAGTTCGATTATGCGTCGCGCGACACGTCTGGTACATTTATATCGGACGCATGCCTCGACAGAAGCAAACGCGTCGTCAACACAGACGCGCAGATCGTTGCTATCTTGGAAAGGCTACGCCCCGACTGGGAGAGGCACGACCGCGGTGATATTAGCGACAACAAGTGGAAGGAGATCACGCAGCTAAAGGGTTGGAACTTTCATCCGACGCACGTTGCCTTGGACGCCAACCTCGCCTACGGTGTCATGTCGCCCCTCTGCTTCGATTGGATGCACATCTATAGCGTCAATGGCATCGTAGCTAAAGAAGTGAAAGCTTTCACTGAGAACAAGGCGGTTTGCAAACTCTGCAGCGCCGAAGATCTCAACGACTATCTTTCAAACTGGACATGGCCCCACAAGTTTCATGCCGCCAATGCCGTGTTCGCACAGGGCGAACTACAAGCAAACGCATCGCAAGAGCTGTCTATGATTCCCGTGCTGGCGCACTTCATCAGGCAAGTCATTGCCAAGCTGCCTGATGCAGGCACCATCTCGGGTCATATTGCAAGTTACTTGCACTGTGCGATGCCATTGATATGGTTATTCTCTCGTCCAGGGGCCTCGCGACTGCACGTGAGCTGGATGTCGCCGTGATGAAGCATTTGGAGCTACACGCGCGCACATACGGGACTAAATATTGGGTTTACAAACACCATATGGCAACTCATCTTGCCGACATGCACTTCAAATTCGGACCCTTGAACTGCTTCGTCCACGAGCGGAAGCACAAAGTTTGCAAGAAGTTTGCAAAGGACCATCTGTGCATGAGGCGAGAAGTCATTGATGATGCAGCTCACGGCGCAGCACAGTTACGACATGGAGCACTTCAGCATCTCAACGACGCTGGTCGACCCCGTAGCCGCCACCAAGAAGCTCATGGGCGTCTTGAAGGAGTTGCGTCCGCAAACGCAATCGGCATCATCGAGCCTCACGGCGTGGACCAAGTACGGGCCGATCCATAGAGGAGACATATGCTTGCTGGGACGTGCTGCAGGACATGCAGCCGTGCAGGTCTGGTTCCATGTAGATTGTGACACAGAGACTGCGCCCTCAGGGCCTCTATGCTTAGTCTTGGAATTGCAGACTCGGCACGTGCACAGCGCAGATTACTATTCTAGGTACTCCATAGACGAAGATCATAATCCCGTGCTCATTCCTTTGGACTCGCTGAGGCACCCTGTGATTAACAGGCGTCTCGGCGATGCAATCACTTGCATTTGGCCAGTTGAGTATCGCAAATTGGAATGCTGACGCGTTTGCGATGTAGAAGTATACATCTTCACATCAATGAATACATCTTCAAAACATCCCGCAAGAAACACAACATCGAAATTGAAACAACATTGAACGCCCCAAAATCAAGTAGATGTTAGCCGAAAAACTATCATGTTATCCGAAATAAATCAACATGCTAACTTTTATAAATGAGTTATAACTAAGTTATAACTCCGCCTAACAGTTACTAACTTCAAATGCCTTCAGGCAGAGGAGCCCAGAGCGGCCTCCGGCACCGTTTCCGGACGGATCCGCTGGATCCGCTGGATCCGGTGACGAATCCCAAACCGGCGCCCTCGCCTGAGACATCCTCACAAAACGGGCCCCGGGGGGGATGCCCAGAGGAGCCAGAGCGGCCTCCGGCACCGTTTCCGGACGGATCCGCTGGATCCGCTGGATCCGGTGACGAATCCCAAACCGGCGCCCTCGCCTGAGACATCCTCACAAAACGGGCCCGGGGGGGATGCCCAGAGGAGCCCAGAGCGGCCTCCGGCACCGTTTCCGGACGGATCCGCTAGATCCGCTGGATCCGGTGACGAATCCCAAACCGGCGCCCTCGCCTGAGACATCCTCACAAAACGGGCCCCGGGGGGGGATGCCCAGAGGAGCCCAGAGCGGCCTCCGGCACCGTTTCCGGACGGATCCGCTGGATCCGCTGGATCCGCTGGATCCGCTGGATCCGGTGACGAATCCCATACCGGCGCCCTCGCCTGAGACATCCTCACAAAACGGGCCCCGGGGGGGATGCCCAGAGGAGCCCAGAGCGGCCTCCGGCACCGTTTCCGGACGGATCCGTGGATCCGCTGGATCCGGTGACGAATCCCAAACCGGCGCCCTCGCCTGAGAAATCCTCACAAAACGGGCCCCGGGGGGGATGCCCAGAAGAGCCCAGAGCGGCCTCCGGCACCGTTTCCGGACGGATCCGCTGGATCCGCTGGATCCGGTGACGAATCCCAAACCGGCGCCCTAGCCTGAGACATCCTCACAAAACGGGCCCCGGGGGGGATGCCCAGAGGAGCCCAGAGCGGCCTCCGGCACCGTTTCCGGACGGATCCGCTGGATCCGCTGGATCCGGTGACGAATCCCAAACCGGCGCCCTCGCCTGAGACATCCTCACAAAACGGGCCCCGGGGGGGATGCCCAGAGGAGCCCAGAGCGGCCTCCGGCACCGTTTCCGGACGGATCCGCTGGATCCGCTGGATCCGGTGACGAATCCCAAACCGGCGCCCTCGCCTGAGACATCCTCACAAAACGGGCCCCGGGGGGGATGCCCAGAGGAGCCCAGAGCGGCCTCCGGCACCGTTTCCGGACGGATCCGGACGGATCCGCTGGATCCGGGGACGAATCCCAAACCGGCGCCCTCGCCTGAGACATCCCCGCAAATCCGGCCCCGGGGGAGGTGGCCAGAGAAGCCCAGAGCGGCTTCCGGCACCGTTTCCGGACGGATCCGGACGGATCCGCTGGATCCAGGGGCGAATCCCAAACCGGCGCCCTCGCCTGAGACATCCCCGCAAAACCGGCCCCGGGGGAGGTGCCCACAGGAGCCCAGAGCGGCCTCCGGCACCGTTTCCGGACGGATCCGGACGGATCCGCTGGATCTGGGGACGAATCCCAAACCGGCGCCCTCGCTTGAGACATCCTCACAAAACCGGCCCCGGGGGAGGTGCCCAGAGGAGCCCAGAGCGGCCTCCGGCACCGTTTCCGGACAGATCCGGACAGATCCGGTGGATCCGCGCCCCGGGGGAGGTGCCCAGAGGAGGAATGAGGAGGAAGAGGAGGAGGAGGAGGAGGAGGAGGAGGAGGAGGAGGAGGAGGAGGAGATGATGGAGCTGCGGGGTGGAGGAGGACAGACGGAGGCAAGAGAAGGATGGAGGAGGAGGAGGAGGAGGAGGAGGAGGAGGAGGAACCTCATCCTCACCCTCGCCAACAAGCGCACGCACCTTCTTCTATATACAGAAACTCCCGATCAACCGCAGAGCGGCCGGCTAGTACAGTTGGAGTAGGAATTGAGCAGGAATTTTAGGGAGGAATTGCGAAATAACGAGATTGGCAGGCCTTCCTTGTGCATGGAGCCAGCGACGCCGGTGGCTTCGCATCGCATTTCGCCGTGGTTTCACACCCCTTTTGTTGCCAATGCACCTCTGACGTGCACGGCTTCTCTCTCTCTCTCTCTCAGGGTGGCAAAAAAGTGGATGGGTGACCTTCAGCTGTAGGGAATTAGGATCCAAGTCCATTCGCCCAGTAACCAACTCGAGAGTGCCACTGCCCTCTTCGAGACGATGCGGGAGCAGTCCCTGGAGCCCGATTGCTACACCTACCCATCACGCAATCAGTTCTGTTCATGGATGCCTGACGCGGTGGAGCCTGGAACCCTTCGCAGCGGTTCCGCCACAGCGGTCGTGTTCATGATTCTTAGGCTTACGCCACACCGCCGACCCCTTGTTTATGCCAATCTGGGGGTAGTAGAAGCTGCGAAGGGGTGAAAAGGCGAGTGATATTTGTTTGGTGTCTGTTCGCCGCCACCGCCAGAGGGTCTCGGGCAGTTCCGCGGGGGGGTCCGAGCGGACGGCGACACCGCGAGTTTTGGAGCCACTGGGGGCCGTTTCGGAGCCTCTGGGGTGCTTCTTGGGGGTTCCTTGGGGCGTCTGGGCGGCCTCGTGAGGGCCTCTGGGGGCCTCTTGGGGCACTCTTGGGGCCCCCTGGGGCTCCTGGGGGCAGAAAGCTAGAGTTTCAACATGTTTGGTCGCCCTCTTGGGCCCCTCTTGGTGCCGTCTTGGAGCCCTCTTGGGCCGTCTTGGGGACCTCTTGGGCCGTGTTGGGGCCGTCTTGGGCCGTCTGGAGGCAGTCTTGGGGGCCTCTTGGGCCATCTTGGGGCTGTCTTTGGGGCCTCTTTGGCCGTCTTGGAGCGTCGGGAAGCCGAAAAGGCGGAAAAGCAAAAAACATAGAAAAACACTATGGAAAATCAACAATTTTAGACTCTTGGGGCCCTCTTGGGAGGCTTGTTTGGGCCCTCGGGGGCCGTCTTGGAGACCTCTTGGCCCGTCTTGGGGCCATCTTGGGCGTCTTGGAGCGGTCGTTGGGCGTCTCGGGGCCTTCGTGGGCCGTCTTGGAGGCCTCTTGGGGGCTTCTTGGCCCGTCTTGAGGCCCTCTTGGGCCCGGAAAAGCCCCGTGAACCGCTCGTCCCGGCCGTGCTGCGCTCGTGCCGGACCCCCCCCCCCCCTCCAAATCGACCGGACCGGGCTCCCGGGGGAGGGGTTTGGGGAGGGGGAAGCATCTCACACGCCGATGATCCCCAAGGGGTCAGCGGTCGTGTTCATGATTCTCGGAGGTCAAGTGGTCGTGTACATTTTTTTTCCGCCACGTTGCATTGCGATTTTGGTGTGCATGTAGACCTCTCCTCGAATTGGAGAGATCACGATGGCCCCGAGATGCACCTCACACGACCCAATACAGAATCCAGATAGCTCCAGGTAGCCTCCGAGGCGGCCAAGGCGCCTCCAAGACATCACTTGGGAAAGCCCGAAAAAGCTAAAGTAACAGAAACACTAGAGACCAGAGCGCCCTATTCAAAACGACGACCCAGAGCAGAAGGGTTGAGAACAGTACTACCAGCACTGGTGTTTCACTCTTTTGCTTCCTCTTCCTCCTCGAGCCGACAGTCGGCGCCGCGTATTGACGGTGCACGCGGGCTCAGAGGAGCCCTCGGCCTGCGTCAGGGGCTGCGGCCTGCAGGTCAGAGGGAGCTTAGTTTGCGACGGCATGGTCTTGGCGTGTCGGGGCCGCTTTGTTTGAAGGGGGCATATCTGATCTGCTCGTTGTATGGAGTTAGCGGTCGGGCATGCGAATCCGAATCCCCGCCCCTGCATATCGAAACATGCCAACCTATGCTGTAGTATGCTGTCTCATATGCTACTGTGTCATAGTATAGTGCCTTCCAGCTTCGGAGTGCCTTGGTTGGGAACAAGCAACTATGATCCGAAGACAACAACAGCAGAATCACACCTCAGCCGCGCGCCCAGGAACAACGAACGACCGTTGGGCCTCCTCACTCCGATATCCTTTCGGACCGTTCCCAGGCGAGCCACGAGCAGGCGCCGCCGTCACATCTGCCAAGACGTGAGCGTGCCGTCGTGCCCACGCTCGGCGCTTCCAGATCTCCGGAGGCTCCGCCCGGGAGTGCCTGGCCTGCGGCTCGAAGGCCCAGCAGCACAGGCTCAACATGCAGCGCCATCGGCCCAGGCCAGGAGCAGGGCCGGGCAGGGCTCGGATGTCGGCACGTCGTCGACGAACTCCGAGCCCTACACACGCTGCCCATCGGGGATTTCGCCGCCGAGTGGAGCGCCATTTAGGGGTTCCCACTTCTTTTCGACGGCACTGGGCCTGCGGGTCGACTTCGAACAGTGACGTCGGGCATAAGTACCGAGGCGATCGCCAGCCTAGCGTAGGATCACCAGTAGCGCCTCCGCACCCGTGCGCACGAGGAAATAAAAAAAAAGGAGCCTAGGCAAGCGGGGCTCCGCCAGAGCGTCAGATCTTGCAGGGATTATCTGCAGGGCCCGACGCTGGCCGGGCCTGGGTGGGGAGCCGCTCGCGGCCCTGGAGGCGGCCGGGCCTCACAATTCAGCGGGGCCTGTCCCTGTGCAGGGGGAATATTCCAAAATAGTGAAAAAATAGTGTGGGGGGACTAATGCTTCTTGTATTTCTTGGATCATGTTTGAATCTTTTCCGATATGTTTCAAGCATACCTTCCAAATCCGCGCCTGTAGGGGGACACGCCCGACCTAACCTTACAAGTTGGTCGAGCCGGGTTTGGGGAGGCCCCAGGCAACTGCAGCGCAGGTTTCTCCACAATGCCTGGGCCGTGTCTGCGCCGAGCCTGGTTCGCCGTCAGTTCCTGCCCGCTTCCGGGTTCCGTTTCGACTCGACCGATCCGATTCGGTGCCCTTCGATACCGATTCGGGGTCCGATGCAGCCTCGGCCCTCGGCGTGCTTGCCAGCAGCTGCGCCTCGCCCAGCGCGTTCCCAGGGTGCCCTGACATCGTCCCGGCCAGCCGGAGGACGCCCCCAGCCGCTGGGAGGCCCGAGAGACACTGGGGGTTCTGTTGCTCCCGTCGTACTTCAGGACCACCTCCCAGAACTACTTTCGAATGCCCAGGGAGGTATCGAAGCAGTGTCTGTCCGACACGCTGGCGACGTGGCGAACGGCAATCGCCTCCCAGGGCCCCATACGTGAACGCCCTCCCATTTCGGGACTTCCCTGGTGCTCGACATTCTTTCTGATCAAGGCTGAAGTATACCTAGGTCGGGGCACCATAAAGTGAAGGCACGATCGGGGCCTGCTTCGGCCAGATCGATCCGATTCGATGTCGATTCCAGCCTGCTCGATTCCGATGCTTCTCCGTGGGGACGCGGGTTCGAGGGAAACGGGTCCTAAGGTTTGTCGCCTTTTCGGGCCCTCGGAGCCCTCCATGGGCCCTGGGAGTGTTAGAAAACGACTCAGGATGAAGGTCCCGGGGGAAGGCCCTGGGGTCCAGGACATGTTTCCCTCAGGACCCGTTTCCCCATGTTGAGATTATCGTTCCGACGATCCGGTGCGACCAGATGCTTGCATGGCGCTGTTGTGCATTCCTGCTCGGCTGATCCGTATCGATTCGATGCAGCCCGCTCTGGCGAACGTTCGGAGTCCATCCGACTTCCCGATTCGGTGCTGACCGATCTTGGCCTCAGAAGCCCCAGCGCTGTGCAGTGACCGTCGCGTGAGACGGTGTGGGTTCGAGGGCAGTTTTTGCTCGGTTTCGGTTTCTGGGGCCCGCTTCTGGGTCTCGGGGCCATCAAACATTGACCCCAGGTGAAGAACTCTATATACTCATGGCGTAGTCGAGACCTCTGTGGTGCGGACTCCGATTAGCGGCTCGCTCAAGGTGCATCGGTATTCGAGCGATTGGCGACGGATGCAAACGATCCACGCGGTGTCAGAAGGAGACTCCGACCCGGGCATCCCATGCCGTGATCTGTTCCATGTTGTGCCCCCGGAAGTCCCGACTCGTTCCCCGGGGCCGACTTTTTCCATCCCGAGTTGTGGTTTTGGGGCGGCGCCCCAGGCATCCCATGCCGTGATTTGTTCCATAGTGTGTCCCCGGAAGTCCCGACTCGTTCCCCGGGGCCGCCTCTTTCTATCCCGAGTCGTTGTTTTGGGGCGGCGCGCGGAGGGGGTGTCGCTCTAGGGGTAGCCTTCTGAGAAGCTTGAAGCCTGGGGTGATGGGCCTGTTTCCCAACACCACCACCATCAGTTGGTGGGGGAGGGGGTCCTCCTCCTCCTCCTCCTCCTCCTCCTCCTCCTCCTCCTCCTCCTCCTCCTGTCCGTCACCCGAACTCGGCGCGCTCTTCTATCTGGGCCGATCCTCCTCCTCCTCCTCCTCCTCCTCCTCCTCCTGCTCCTCTCTTCGTCGCCCATCATATGGGGGGCTCGATACGAAGGTGTCTAGAAGGCTCCCCCCCTCTCGCGCCACCCCTGTTTGTGCGGGCCGCCGATTTGGGGTGAGAGCACAGCTTTGGGACCTGAGCCGCCGTTAGTCGCAGGAGGTCGTAAAAGCTACCGCCCCACTCCCCCCAAAGCTCTGGCTTCGCAATTCGCTGCGGTGGTCGGCGGACGAAGTATTCGCCTAGTATTGTTCGCCGACATGGTTTCTGAGATTGGCTGGTTTATCCCAGCGGATAGCACCCCCTGGACTACCCTACACGATAAAGGAATTCTGTGTTTGTTTGCATTAGGCTTGTAGTACACAGCCGCACCTTTCTCGTCAACGTCGTCGTCGTAGACGTCGTCGTCATACTAATAGTCGTAGTATTCGTAGTAGTCGTAGTTGTCGTAGTAGTAGTAGTAGTAGTAGTAGTAGTAGTAGTAGTAGTAGTAGTAGTAATAGTAGTAGTAGTAGTAGTAGTAGTAGTAGTAGTAGTAATAGTAATAGTAATAGTAATAGTACTAGTAATAGTAGTAGTAGTAGTAGTAATAGTAGGAGTAGTAGAGTAGTAGTAGTAGTAGTCGTAGTAGTAAGTAGTA